ATTATTATATATTCACCATAAGCCACGGTACAAAATGCTACTTGACCAATTTGAATATTGGAATTCTTTTTAATCCCACAAATCACCTGCAAGTGAGATTAAGGCCCCAAAACTAGGCAAAATATTATTTTTTTCATGTATAGTGTCAGCATCACAGTACATTTATTGACCCAAAATTGAAAAAACATGATTTTCATGGTAACAACATCTATGGTCTGATCACTGCCAGAAGGTAAACTTTGGGAGGACAGTAAATTATTTCTTCTTCAAAACATTTTTCAATTTATCCTAATTAATAATCAATATGAAATCAGAGATAGCTGTCTAAGAGTTGGCCACGCTGAGCCACTGTTCCACAGTATTGTGGTTTTTCCCTGTATGTGCTGTTAGGAAAACATATAAGAAACCTTCTGAGAAGACAGTAGTAGTTTATTTTGCTGTTTATTTTGTTTACACTCAAGATGACAGATCCTATAAGCTTTCAGAGTACCTGTGCTGTTTCTAAAAGAGAATTCTTCAAGGTAAAATTCAACTTTCAGCATATAAAAAAAAAAAAAAAAGGCAACAGAAATCGAACTTTGAACAAAAATTGCTCCTTGGAATATGGTGGAAGCGCTTCGCTGGGGTTACTTTGTGTATTTTTTTCCTATTTTTAATGGAAACCAGCAAAACCTCCCCAGTCTTGAGTAAAAGTAAAATAATTTAATTATGAAAGAACTCAACCACAAACAGTTCAAGGCAAACAACCAAGAGAAATGTTTGAATGGAAGAACTGCAGACAAAGCGCCTCGCACAAATGTTTGCTCAGAAGCCCTGACGGAGCAGCCAAAGCCTTTCTGTGTGACTTTCTCTCCACTGTGCTTTCCACTGAGAAAATTCCTGCCAGTTTCTGCCATAAATCCCGCAGATTTTGTTTGCCTGCCCGTGAGAAAGGTCTCGTGTGCCTGTATCCCTGGGCATGTGGATGCAGGGAAGAGGAGGCGACAGCTCCAGCACGACCAGCCATGTAAAATGATTCCCTGGTAAATGTGAAATCTGCATCCCTGGCAGCACAAACAGGAGAAAGTCCTGTTGATTAAAACTTGAAAGAACAAGGCTCTGTCTAACATTCATTCCAAAGGTGTTTTGTCTCCATCATTCCCCCTTGGGAACAATTCCATTTTTCTGCTGGACTGTGACACGTAGAGTCATTTACTCTGAAACCTCATCCTTTTCCTGACCTCCCTTAGTCGTTTTTATTTCATTTTCAACATCAGTCACTCTCCATCCTTTCAGATACCTGTAATTGTGACTAAACTATGATAACTATGGATAAAACATGGAATGGCAGGTAAAAATAACTCCTCTTCCCTCTGTTTTCCAGGGCAGAGGGAAGCTCCCTTCCCATCCAGCCCTTTTCCTCCCTCATATCCAGGCTGAGGGCTCCCTCTCCTGTTCCAAGACATTCCTCACCACTGCACTTTAAAGAAGGCAGAGAGGAGCAAACCATATCTGACAGGCAAAATATGGGATATCTAATGGAAAAAATTACACCTTTCAATTCCTTAAAATCGAGGATTTGGCAATTAACAGGAACTTCTCAAATCATAAAACGTCTCTTATCACAGAGCTTTGGCATCAGCTGTGGCAACAAGATATTGCTGAGCTCTGGCAAAGGTTATGATGGATCAGTAGAAGGACAGACAGCCAAAAAAAGGTCATCCTGGGACAACCAGAACTCCTCAAGACACAAAAGCAAATAAAATAATAAACATAAATTCAGCAATTAGTCTGTATTTACAGAGTGATTTACCAGTTATGGAACATGTAACATGAACTATGAATATTTTGGGGTTTTTTCAATCTGGCAGAGAAGAAAATCACTGAGATGAAGCATTTCGTCTACAGAAGAAGCACAGCTAAGGAGCTGACACGCCAGCAAAAGATGAAATTAAAGAAAAATCTGAGACCAATAGCATATTAAACTTAATTAACATCAGTCCATAAATTCTCAGTGGCCACCCACTGCTTTCCAATTAAAATATTTGATTTCAAACCAACCAAACACAATTTATTTTATTCAAAACAGAAACAGAACAGAAATCACAATTTTCAGTTGGACTAGATAACAAAAAAATAAAATTCAAAAAATCAACACTGCACAGTCAATGAATAAAGGAAAGGAACACCCCAAAACTTTATATCTAAGAAGGTAATAGATTAAAGTCCTCTGTGGTAAGAGAAAAAGCATAATTTCCAATAGGTAGTTAGGCAATTCTGGATCTGTGATAGAAACGTAACAACTGATTGAGCTGATGTATGTTGAACTTAAAACAAAAATTTTCAGTCAGCAAATAAATCAGCAAGTAAATAAAACAATGAAAATGTGAAATGTAAAACAACCACGAATGACTACGGGAGAAATAATGTGAGATCACTGAATTTAATGGAAGTCTTTCCAGTGACATTAATAAAATTCCGAGCTGGCTTTTGTGCTGGAAGATGATGGCAGTTTGAGGTGATACAATAGTTTTTGATCACTAAAACCCAGTGGTGACAGATCCCTTCTGTTTGGCTGAGTGTCCGTGTTGGTGGGAGGGGGGAAGATGTGCTAAGGTTGCTGTTAGAGGGAGATGAGACGTTCCACCACTCCCCATCAGAACTGAGAACCAGTAAAACATCTCTGGCAGTGCCCTTGAGACAACCACCTGTCACATCACCAGAATGTGAGTTATTTTCTGATGTAGTTACATTCCAAAGTCCCTATTTTCAGTGTAACATATTACATTTTAGTGGCTGGGACTCCATACAGCACGTGTATTAATTTCCCCCTCTGCCGATGGAATTTTTAATGAAGATAAATTATAATCATGACATTTACATCTCAATGATTTTCACAATTGAAACATTCTCATAATACTGGTGCACATGCTGTAAGTGGGTTATGCAGCCAGATACTAAAGCAATCATTTTATCATTGTCAGAGTGAATATAATGCCTACAGCAATCAATTGGGCTTTTATGGGAACAGTTAGCTCAGCTGTTTTTGCAATGAAAAAAATGCACTGAAGTGCCCATTATCCATCTCCACTGTCAAAGGACAAGCCATGATCTTAGCTTTCATTCCCTGGAGTGGGGAAACTCTGCCTTACAATTAAGATCAGAAGATGAGAGAGGGCCAAAGTGGTCAGCAATAGCCGAGAGCAAGAGGCTCAAGAGCCCTGGGAAGAATCACCCGGGGCCACCTGACTCTGGGAACAGCACTGGGGTCAAACAGAGGTTCAGCTGTGGGTTCTGCAGCACTGGAGGGGAGGAGGTTGGGCCTGGTCAAGATGAAGAGGAGAAATGAAGACAACAAAGGTGATTAAAACAAAAGATAGACGAGTGAAACATGAGGAGGTTGCAAGAGCACTGGCTGGAGAGAAGTCCTAGAGGCAGTACCAGCACGGATGTGGGGGGAGAATGAAGACAGATTGTCCAGTTTTCTCCATAAAGAATCACAAACCTAAGTTGTCCAAGAGCTGGTAGAACATCCAGGACAAGATTTTCTGCAACTACTCCCCTTTATTTCCAGCAGTTGAGTCAGGTGGGTTCACATGTTTCACATGAACCTCAGCAGTCTGGGCAGCACTTGTCTGATGCCCCAATCCCTACATAGGAATGCTGTCCAGAAGAGAGGAATGTGCCTGCATTTTCTGATCTAGTCCACGTGCCAGAGTGGTAAAAAAATAATGTGCTTTGCTTATTATTGAGTCTTAGGGAAACTGCATCAGTAATCAACAGGTATTTTGTGAAAGAAGGGTGGGTAAGACACAGGAGTCATTAGTAGGACCACTGCTATTGTGGTTCATACTCATTCCCTAAACCCCAGCAGAAAAGCCAGAATAGATTTGATTCAACAGTATTACAGTGGAAATACCCCAGCAGAACTTATCCCAGCATCTACAGGTATTCCCAGTTAGATTTGGAAAATATAAAATGTGGATTTTTTTCCCTTCTTTCATGTTGTGCCTGATAACACAGACCCCCTAACTCATTAATATCTGAGTTGATGACATTAGTAAAGTCTCCACATTCCTAAGCTTTGTAAACAACAGGCCTACAGGAAAGACAGGAAACTTCCTGTGACAAAGTTCCTTGAAATAATTTCTCCTTTATTGTAATGCACTGAGTCTTCTGATCTGCTCAGCAAGAGATATTACAGCAATAAATCTTTTTATACTTTTGAAGAAAAATGAACAGTAAATGTTAAGACTGGAACATACTATTTAAAATAAAAGAATAAATACTTCTGCCAGCTATTTAAACATTCAATGGCCAGATACACAGAAGCAAATCTGTTAATGTTTCTGTTCACATCATCAATCCTTGCTCAGAGCTTGCAAGTTCTGCAAGCATACACCCTTAAACCCTAAACTTTCATTCTTCAAATTTGCAGAATTTTCAGGAATTTAGGAGGAGAGAATTTTCTGAAATTATTCTGAGAAGGTACCACCAGGAACCAATTATTCAGATACCTCACAGTGTACCCAAAGAACAGGACTCTTAATTCATTAGCAAATGAAGTGCTCGAGGTGAGCCAGGTGCATTCAGGCACCTGCACACACAGACAAGACTCAGAAAGGAATTGGCAATTCTGAAGTTCCTGCCAGGCAGGAATCTCCCTACTGCCAGTTGTTTCCATAAAGATTTATTTGCTTGTCATTGAGTATAGATTATTTTTAATCACCTATTTATCTGGGCGGATATCAGGCATAAAAACTACAATCTAGCAATAAAAATTCCACAGTTCTATTAATGCCACAGAGGAAAATGGGAAAAGGGACTTTGTTATTGCTGATATTAAACAAAAACCAAAAATCATAGAAGTCACTGGGTATGTGAAGGCAGCTCAGTTCCCCACTCAGTTTGGTCATTAAAAGCTGGAGAATTACCTGTGTCTGCTCTGGTCTTTAAGATGCAGTTCAGCAGCTGGGAGGAATTTGGCAGACTCCCAAATTTACCTGCTCCCTGACCAGGCTCTTTTGCTGTCACACTGTGCCTCCAGGCAGGATCCAGCTCCGTGTCAGCCCACCTGGCACGCCGGCACCTCGCTGCTCACCAAGCCACACTTCCAGGGCTGACATCTAAATGGAAGCCAAGGAGAAGTAAAATTGAAGCAATTTTGGGAAACTGTGACAGATACTCAAGAGAAAAATCCATGGGCAACTATTAGGAAGAGAAAGAGACTCACATTTTAGAAGCCTAAAGCTACATCTCAGGATTCTGGCCTCAGGAGAGGCAGAAGGATATTTACCTTCCCAAGGCCCACTGGAAAAATCCAAATACCACAGTGAATTCAGCCAAATAAGAACACCATTCCCTGGAAATCTCTTCTCCACTAGTGTGGATGATTGAGCAAAAGCATCTCAGCCCTCTGTGAGCTGTTTCAATCCTTTATTGCAAAGGCTACATGTATTTTCACTACCCTACCTTGAAACGTCTCGTTCTTGCCTTTGATTTCAGCTGGTTCAACTTGACACCCCTTCTCTACCTCCCCCAAAAGCAGTTTACTCGCTCCTGAGCTACTGTGACACGAGAAACACTCTTTATACTAAAAACCAGAGATGTGGAGAATGGCATTATGCATGGCAAGAGCTGGAGAGGTGCTGGGAATAATATTCAAAGAACAGAAACGTGCCAAGTTCGAAGCTGCCAATGGAAACAAAGGGAGCAGCAAGAAAGGAGAGTGTAGAAAATGTATTGTCAGTGACTCCTGGCCTGGAATTGAATCCCTAGGTGAGTGCTGTGGAAGTCTCCTGAATGCTGATAAGGTGCTTAACATTATCCAGTACTTGGGCTGACTTTGTGAGTAGAGAAAATAGAGAGGGAGAAATGGAAATACAGACCAAGGTGCGCAGAAGTGGGAGACGAAGTGACCGGAGCGCTGGGAGGTAGGGGGGGAATCCTGCATAAATCCTGGAAAAACAGCCTGGAAGAACAAAGGCCACTAATAGTCTATGCTGGTATATTTTAGTATCTATTATTTTTAGGTCAATGCCCCAGATGTAGCATTTTCAGGTCTTAAACAGCCATCAAAAATTAGTATTACTTTAGTAACAAGAACGTAAATTTAACATAAGGATATTTATTTTCTTGGGAAATAAATCTGGAAGGACAATTTTCAACAATTTTTAGGATGTTGACTTGTTTTGGATCTCCTGAAACTTGAAGTGACAAAGCTCTGCTTTTAACAGCATAAGATAGAAAATACAACCATCATGTATTTTTTAAATCTCATATAAAGAGACATCTTGTAACAATTCCACAGCGATGAAGTTGTCAACAGTGTGATCAGGTTTCAAAACACTTTAGATATAAAAAGAAGAAGCCAGCTTTGAAAAATATCAATCCTACCCTTAAAAATAAATTTTTCGGAGTATCTTGGAATCCCACCCGATTGTACCGCCACAAATTCAGATCTTCTAAAATAAATCAAATTTACAACTATTAAGTTGAAAAGCAGTAACATGTCTATGAATTTACTGCTTTCATTTCTAAACCACTTCATACACAGCAGGGACCATATTGCTTTGCCCATCCTCTCACCAAGCAGCGGATCTTTTCATTATAAAGATAACTTCGAGGGGTGGAAGAGTTTTGGAGGGTTTTTTGATAGAAAGATGTCATTCTGAGCAATTTACTGACTTTGGATAGCTCACCAAGCTTTGTGAGAAGACATCGTGGACAGGGAGCCAACCTTAAATTCCCAACTCCCTGCTCTCCAAAGTCCAGCTTAGACAAGTCAGACAACGCTAAGCAGCAAGTTTTAGAGCCGAGGTGATTTTTCCAAAGGAAAATGCCAGACTGCTGAAAACAAAACATTCTGGGGAGCCCTGTGAGCCTGCTCAACTTTGGAAGGCAGCAAGGCACCCAGGTGCCTTTTGTGTCTTGGTATTTAGACAAACTCCTCCCGAGCAGTTCAGCTGTGAACAAAAGTGATTCTGTGCCAAGGTCAGGGATGTGCTGAGTCAGCACCACCGGCGAGTCAAGAGGCCTGAGGGCACCTTGAGCTCATACTCCCGATTCTTCCTGCTGTGTCAAAGATGACGTGGAGAAGAGATTACATCATGTGACCTGCCATCTCCTTCCTATTCCTGAGACCCTCGTCCTCCCCCCAGCTTGTGAAATCCCCTCCCGCGCCCGGCACAGCTCCCAGCCCTCGCACCGCGTTCCATTAAAGGGGGACAATTCTGATCTGAGGTGATCTGGGCTGCACCACCACAAAATATGTCACTACCTGCTTTGCTGGAGTCTCAGAGGAGGTGTGTGACCAGCAGAGCGTGACAAGATGCGAAGCTCTTACATATCCAGTGCCTTCCTCCGGGTTAAAACGGGGAAGGAGCGGAAAACACGACCCTGGCTGGGATGGTTGTGACAATCCCAGCCCGGCCCCACGCTGACAACCATCTTGCAGCACAGAAGGCAACCTCTTAATAAACACTAAACCCTTCTAACCTGAAAGATTGCAACCACTCTAATCACCAGGCGTTTTAATTGTTGGAGGAAGGCTCAGACAAATACAAGCCCCTCTGGGGGCCAGAGAACGGTGATAATTTTGCCTTTCCTTTTCCTTCTGACAGGACACAATCCACTGGGTGGTATCTCAGCATGTGAAATTAGAGGCAGATGCCCAGAAATATAGATATTTGCTAAAAACAGACCTCACTGAAATGTGTTTGCAAGGTTTTGCCATAAAGAAAAATCTTTTTTTTTTTTTTTTCCTTCCCAGCAAAATTTGTGTTTCTTCTCTGGCATGTTAATTACTCAGAGACTGTTGCTTTTCAGAACACTTTTGTGGGGGATATTTCGGTTCTTGCATTTAGACACAAACTGGTTTAATTACAAAACAATAGATATTTTAAAATATTTGTGACCACGCCTGAAAATGATGAGCTGTACAGATTTTTACTTACTTTTTACACCTTTGGTGCTCAAAAGTCGGACAACACTGGAGGCAGCAAGGACAGTTGCATTGAAAATTATGTGGTAATAACTTAACTACATGAACCAGTCCATGTAGAGCTGTTACTGTCACTGTGGAACATAAAAGAAATCATGTAATTACGCCCAATTAAAAGGCAGTCCTGTTGCTCGTGACAGTGGGAATTCCATTATGCTGGAGAAAGTGAATAGATACTAACCAGAAAATGCCAGTTCCCAACAAGTAAACTATTACAACAAAATAAATAACAATAAAATCGATTTTATTGTGTCATATGCCTCTTGTTTCTGTGGGAATAAAGTTTTATTTCCCTCAGTAATTTTGTTTGCTGAAGGAATGGATCAGAGAATCACACCAGAGAGATCTTGTAATTCACAGCTCCTGTTCTTATGCCCTGAAAGTCCTTTTTTTCAGAGCCTTTTCTCCCTTAACCAGGCAAAAAGTACATCCTTTCATATCCCCACATCAATATTCTTGCTGCTCTACTTCAGTAACTCCTCTGGTGACAGAGAAGGTTATTCGGGTCTGGAAGGGTCTCTGCTGAGCCACAGCAAACATATTTAGTTAAGTCTTTTTTTTTTTTGATTATATCATTTGGAAAACAGTCCCAAATGTTTGTCTGAAGCTCCCCCGTGCCCTCCAGCACACAGGATTTGCAGACAGCTGCCAAACCAGCAAGGAGTCGAGTCTGCTGACACCACTGAGTTCACTCAGAACGAGGTACAGCTCTCAGGGGGCAAAGGAAAGAGGGTGAAAAAATGCCTAATTAGGAGCTGAAGACCAGCCCTTGCAATCTGAAACCTTCCTTCCTCTCTGCAGGTTAAAAATTTAGCACCTTATACATTTAAAACTTTTCTAATTTGATATAAAGGGTCTTCCTTTATCATTCTTCAGAGCTGCCTCAAAATCGTAAGGCGTTCGCTCAAATATTGAGTGTTTTATTAAAGTGCTTGGAGCTGGGTTTGAAATGTTCATCTCCCTTCCAAAAGGAAATTGTACCTGTGAAGATCCTCACGGTGCTTAATATACATATTTTACATCACACAGTCTTATCATGGGATCATGGAATGGTTTGGGTTGGAAGGCACCTTCAAGACCATCTCATTCCACCCCCTGCCATGGGCAGGGACACCTTCCACCAGACCAGGTTGCTCAGAGCCCCATCCAGCCTGGCACTGAACACTTCCAGGGATTATTATCCTAAAAATATCACCTCTGTACTAAATGATGACCAATTAAATATGAATTTCACACAGAGCAGCATCAGAGAGGTTCATACACATAGATCTAAGGAAAACACCAATTCACCCACGAAGCATTTGTGTCTGAAACTCCCACAAAGCTAAAACTGCAATGGTTTACAATTTGTGTATATTATTAATTGCAGATTGCACATTCCATCCATGAAACCAATGGCTCCTAATTGTGCCATCAACTGGTTTAGATGGCAACATCTGAAGCCCTTTGTTTAATTTTCCACTGCTGAAAAACTGGGATCCATTCAATGTTCCAAGACAGGCACCCTCAGATATTAAACCACCTTTTGAGATTATTTTGTTGGGTTTTTTGTGGGTTTTGTTTGTTTGTTTGTTTTTCCCCCATTGTGTTCTCTGTTTTTGTTACAATGGGCAGTTAAACCAGTTGTGGAAAAACCTGTGACACATCACTGGCAGGTCACATCACTTCATAAAGGAGCATGTTTGATATGGAGATAAAGTCTGCCCACATAATATCCCTTTTGTGCAGTTTAACAGTGACACATTTCAGAGGCTACAATTTACTGCAAGCAAAACCCAAACACATTTCACTTTTCACCTCGTGGTGACACGATCTGGAATCGGTGAGATGATGGAAGGGAAGGCAGGGTCAGAAGAAAATAAAACCTTAGAAGTGCACAAATAAATCCTTACTAAATAAAAGTATGTAAAAGTAGTTCAGAAAAAAAAATAGAATTTAAACCTGCAGTGGGTAACACTGGACATAAACAATGTTAGAACTTCTCAGGAGATAGGAGATGATACTACAGGTAAAACAGTGGTTTGAAATGGTTTTGAGCAATGATTTAAAAATAATTCCTGTTGGGATAGTTTAAGTTTTCCAAAAGAGCCTGTGGTCGTATTTATGTATCAACAGACATTATCTGAATTTGTTTGGATACAAATACATTGGAGAACAAGATCACTATGGAAATACAGACTGTTCAGATACAGACTGGGCACCAACTTCTCATGCAATTAGAGAAACAATCACCTCAGAAAAGGTACTGAGAAAAAGCTCAGAAAGAATGAAAATAAATAAACTCAAATTGGTAAAGAAGCTGAATTTCAGAAGCTGACAAATTCAAGGTGATTTTACAATGAAAATGAAAACAAACAGCACAAGGAGGTTTCATCACGTGAATAGAAGGAAAACAGGAAAAGACAAAGTTGGGCATTTAGGCATTGAGATAAAACATAATCTAAATATAGTCAAACATGTAAATGGATACATTAATTTTTGATAACAGTAGTACTGAACCTGGAGCAAGAAGTAAAATTGCCAGGAAGGGTGAGAGCAACATCACTGAAGTGACCACTGTTGAGATGAAGCAAAATATTTGAGAATCCTCATCCCAAAGTATGAAAGTAATTGACCTTGTGATTTTTTTAATTTTTTTTAATTAAGGGACATCAAATGACTCTCCCAAGTGACTAGAAAGCGATAAAAACCATTATTTTATTTTTAAATTGAGAAATAAGTGGTGAGTGCAATCATGGACCTATTCTTGCAGCTCTGGTGTTTGTAACACTTTAAACGCTCTTAAGGGGTGGGTGGAAATTAGAATTAGAAAGGAAATAACAAATCAGTATCCAGTGGAGCCCAGGTTTCTAAGGAAAGATTAGTGATACTGATCTACTGGGGTTTTCGGTTTTGTTTTTTTTCTTTTTTTTCCCTTTTTTTTCCCCTCTAAAGGAACTAGTTTCTTGGAAGGGAAAACAAGATCAATCTAATCTATCTGGACTTCAGTAAAACACCTGATTAATTGCCAGGCTGTAAATTACTGGTTGAATCAGCCCAGATGAGGATCAGCACTAAAAATGAGGGTGGCCAGAGACCCATCTGTAAGAGAAGAGGGGACTGATGAGTTTGGGCTGAGCTGCCCTGTGACTGCGTGGATTTAGATTTAATGACTCAGAGCGTTTATTCCTTCATCATTTTGATGACCTTATAATAGGGAAGTGCCACCCACCACCAGGATTCTTCCAGGGTATAGAATCCATACAGAGATGTTTGCCCATGGAGGACTAATCAAGAATAACAGCACGCAGGTCCATCTAAGCTATGATGGGGATCATAATTAATCTTTCTCCTAAAACTGCAGCTGAATGGAAAGGTAGGTGCTGGCATTTTTATGGCACTGTGGTATGTCAGTCCGTGAATGATGACTGTGAATAAATATTGCATTCGGGGAATTTTAATCTCCCTTCCATCCGAAGTTCATAACGATATCCGCACTAACAGATTTATATTCCCCACCCAGCCAGCCCTGGCAAATGACAAACCCTGGCATTCAATTGCATTAAATGATAATTAGTCAGTCTACCTCTAATCTGATGGTTAATACATCATGTCAAAGGCTTTCTTATGAAGAAGATTGAATTGGAATTTCATCTATGGCATTAACATAACGCATTACCATAATGGGTCCCAATCCCAGGCCTGAAGCTTCAGGGAAGTTTGGATATGGAAATTAAGGTGAGCCCAGGCCTTCTGCCTCAAGTGTCTCACGGTGCAAAACCAGAACCTAGGCATTTTTCTCCCCCTGAAATGGAGATTTTATATAAATAGGTAATTACATTACCTGAGCCCAGTGTGGCAAGGCAGTGCTTCCAAGATTTAATCAGTAATAATGGGGTGAGTAGAGAAACCCAGGAAAAAAAGCAACTTGGTTACCTACATACAAATTCCCAGGGCTGTGAAGGTGATGAATTTTCCTTCTTAGCTTCATTCTGCCATTCCAGAGGTGCAGCAGAGTCCTTTGGATCTTTTTCCATACCTGCCAGGCCCAGACAGATGTACCAGAGGAACTATGGCACCTAAATGGACACTTAAGCAAAGCATCTCTTTCTTTCTTTACAGTCACAGGTTCTCCTGTGCTGGGAGTCTTTGTGGTCCTTTGAAAGGTTTGAGGGTGCCAGTAGCCCAAATTCCACAATTCAGAAGACATCACATCTGGAGTTCAAGCAAAGCCAGCTTTGGAGAGAGGCAGCAAAGCCACCGAGTGTAGGTTTGTAACCTGCTTTCCCTTCACAACAATCCCCTGCAGCAATTCCCTGCACACGTCAGCTCAGAACCTGCATGATGTATAACAGGGATGTGTGCAGCATCCAGAGCACAGCACGAGCCAGCAGACTGTCCTGCTGCAATGTTTTAGGGACAGCCAAACTTCAGGGACATTTTGCTAACCGTGTCCGTGTGCAGCTTGGCTCCAATCAGTCATTCCTGAGGATAACAATCAAATTGAACACAACCCACAGTCATTAACATCATTAATGGATGAGTCTCTCAGGAGAGATAATTTTGTGCTGCCCTTCAGCTTTCTGGAAGACAACTCTTAGAAGAGACAATCATGTTTGACATCCCCTCTCCCATCCCCAATCCCCTGTTTCTCTTGAGCTGCTTCCTTGTACATGGAATTTCCACCAGAAACGTTGCTCTGATCCTGCCATTCATCCAGGTCTGCGAGGACCAACCTCTCTTCTGCCAGACTTAGGTATTTACAAAGGTTTTCCTCGATTAAAAACCAATCAACACCAACCCTTCCAGATGGGCACTTTCAGATGCCCCATCCCTGGAAGTGTTCAAGGTCAGGTTGGATGGCACTTGTATCAACCTGGTTTAGTGGAAGGTGTCCTCGACCCAGTCCTCCAAGTTTCCTGTCCTAAACACCTTTAAAAGATGTTGAAAAATCAATTTTACTTGTATTTTTTATTAATGGGTAAAACTTACTCAAAAAGAAGGTGTAAGAAATTTAAAAAAAAAAAAAAATTGCTCAATAAATTCTAATGTGATTTCTATTTCAGTCAAGGAAGTGTATAATGTAACAGAGCATTATAACACAAGACATTTTTCTCCCAAATACTATTCTAAAAGATTAGAATAATATAATCACCAAATTAAAAAGCTCATAATGGGAGCGATCAAATATAGTATTAAGTGGCTCAGTCAAATGAGAAAAGCTGCTTTCCAGTGAGATTTTAAAAGATGCAGCAAGTCCACTGAGGCAGAGAGACTCAGAAAGGCTCTTCCAGATGGCAGGGCCTTCAGAGGAAGAGGGGTTTGCACCAAAGGCACTTTTGTGGGAGAGCAAAGAGAAGAAGTGGTTGTCAAAACAGGCAAAAGAGGGGGCAAGTCAATAGAAGGTGACAAAATAGGATGCAAATAGCAATAATGGCCATAACAAGATCAGCTGGAGCAGATCACATTTACAAAAGGATTTTGTGTAAGATGAGAGAATTGTACTGAAAAAAATAAAGGCAATGAGGCCACAACGTGAAGTGCACGGGTAATATCACTGAAAAAGTTGTACAGCCAAGACAAGCAGGATGAGGAGACAGCGATGAAGTCAGGAGAAAGAGAATGATCCCTCTGTTTTACTGTTTGAGCCAAAGGTGGATGAGATCTGTTAACAGAAATGAGGATACTCCCCAGAGAAATGGACTTGCAGTGTTTCTCAACAGTCACATTTCTTGAAGATTGAGGAGATTAAAGAGCTGTCAAACTGATCTGCACCTATCACACACCTGGGGAATGCACATTCCTGCACCTACAAACCCTGGAAGGAACAGCAACATCAAACCAGCAGAATTTCCTACAACATGAAGAACTTCTGTCGTTTCTGTGCTTCGTTCCAAACGTGACTTTATCCACAATCCTCTGGGCTTTGTGGGAATTGTGCCTGAAATGTGCCAACGTGACTGCTCCCACAAGAGAGCAGGCTTGGATGTGTTCCCTCTGTGATGTGTCTGAGCTACGAAAATAACCAGTGACGAGTATCAATACAAACAATCAGCCGTGTAAACATTTCTGCTGTGCTCGAGGATCGCTCTGGAGATGCAGAGGTGGTTGTTCAGCAAACTCCTCTGCAAGCCCCAAACTGATGAGCACAATCTCTCATCCAGGGTCTCGTCAGTGCTCAGAGGAATTGTCACTGCAGTCACCTCTGACTGAGCTTTATCAGTCAGGTGAAAGCTCTGACACTCTTTATGTCAGGTAACATCATCATCCAATGGGATTCATCCACTAAGATAATTCACAGCAAATGGTGTTTTTCTGAATGTTTCTTTTGAGAACAGTAACATTCTCAAAGAGAAATTGAGCAGATGCTCTTAAAGAACATTAGATTTTAAACAAAAACCCGTGCTGACATTTATAGCTGAAGCATTTATCCAGCAGGTATATGATCTATGAGGATGCTCCTCAACTGCACAGTCATTCTTTGCAGACTCAAAATTCATTTTGAGAAATAAACTATATGAATGCTGAAATCTATGTAGTATTTCATGCTTATAAAGAATGCTCAGCAAGAACTTTTAAATAACAAGGAAGGAGAAGGACAAGTGCCTGTCACAAACCTTGCATAGAGAATTAAATACAGCGTATTTGAGAGGGAACAAGGACCATTTACTGAGATCCAACCTGAACCTGAAAAATAACTGAGAATTAAGAAATCTACCTTCTTATTTTATCCAGATTTTATTATTAGAAATATTTTATTATTATTTTATAGGCTTGGAGTCTCCTAAATTTGGGAATCAAGAGCTGTGCATTCCTAACTGTGCACTGTCCTTCTTCAGTAGGAACTTTCATGGATCAACCAACTGCCACAGTTTGATTTCATGGAAAAAGGCAACTCTTGTGCCATCAAGTGAAGTGCAGCCTTGAGCAGGTGAAAAGCTACAAGTAGAAAGTGAAGAAATTCACACAAGTAGGGCCATTGATTTAATTTGCTTTGTACTAAATCAATCTCAAGGTAATTCATTCACATGCAGAACTGTTTCCAGCACAGAGTCCTCACAGGACATCTTTTAAAAAACTGGGAACAATCATCATAATTGTTAAGCAGAAAAAATATTTCAGGGTTGAAAAATGGCATCTCATTGGAAATTAATTACAAACAGAGAAGGCAAGCCTGTTATTGTGTCCTGGATGTTTAAGTTAATTAGTTAGGAACACATAACTTTGCAGGGATTATGGACCAAGATCTTCAACAGAGAAAAGCTGGAAACCTTTTCCTCCAGTGTTCCATTCTAAAGCTTAATTATTAGTCAATGAGAAGCAAATAGATTTATGAATTCAAGGGTTTATAGTGAACATTATCAAATTAAATACTAATTACTTTTATGAGGTAACTGCCAAACGTGTTAGTTTGTTATTTGGGAGCTGAAATAGTCAAAATATCTAGGGTTTTTTTGGAAAAAAATAAAAACTCCCTTGCTTTTGAAATGCAGCCTCCCTGCAGCTGAACTAACCCCACACACACAACTATCTCCAGCAGACTTGATCAGAAATAATTTCACAAATTCTTCACACTCTGTGGTTTTGTAGTTCCTGATGGGCTGAGGAGTGTTGGAAAATAAAAAACCAGGAATAACCAAAATTCCTAGCAGTCTCCTAATGTACATCGTAGCAAGAAAGCTCTGAATGCACAACTGGGGAGCCCAAACAACCCTAAGACAGCCTAAAAAGAGAGATTAATGACACAGCTCAGTTACAGCAGCACAACTCTAAACTGAACTCAAATATTCTGTCTAAAAGTTGCTCTATAAATAAATAAAACCTAAGGAAAGACTCCCATCACCTACTGCAAAGCTGGTCTGCTGCACTGCACAGCCCTGCACTGTCCTTACCAGCATTTTATTGATGGTTTTACATCACAAAAGAAAAGCAAAACCCAACAAACAGCACCTTCCAGTGCTTCAAGGGGCTCCAGGAGAGATGGAGAGGGGTTTGGGACAAGAGGGAATGGATTCAAAGTGACAGAGGGCAGGGTGAGATGGGATATTGGGAAGAAATTTGCCCAGAGAAGCTGTGGCTGCCCCATCCCTGGAAGTGTCCAAGGCCAGGTTGGATGGACCTTGGAGCAACCTGGGCTCGTGGAAGGTGTCCCTACCCATGGCAGGGGGTGGAATTGGATGATTTTTAAGGTCCCTTCCAACCCAAACCAGTCTGGGATTCTGTGATTATTTTAATTTTCCATAAGTAAGGGAAAAAAAGACATAAAATATACTGTGAAATACACTGGTAAACAATATGGAGATTAGGGGAAAGATTCCTCTGTACTTAACTGGAATGAGCTTACTGTAAATCAAAAGCTTAAAAGTTTTAAAGTTGTAATTGGATCAGCAGGGCTCTGACAGTTCCTTGGTTTTATAGCAGTGTGGATCTAAAAGAATGGCTTTTTCTCAAAAGAGGCTCACAAGAGACAAGCAGTAAAAAAGATCCAGTCTGGGATACATTTCTGAAGGAATTTCAAATAGACTATCAAGCTCTTAATGCTCTTTTTGTATTAGGAGTAAACAGAGCTCCAGTTTAAACTTTATAATGCAACGTACCCTACTTTGCCAACTTTTTCTCAGTGCACCTAAGACCCCATTATTTGACAGATGACAAGGACTTACCTGATTGTCTGCAGTGTTTGATATCCAGTCTTGACAAACACAGTCTATTAAATTAGAGGAATGCCAGCCAAAGAGAGTGACAAAAGGTTTCCAGAGACAGGGAGGAGTGAATAAAGAATAAATACTAAGATTTTCACCTATGCAGCTCCAGCTCACAGTTATCAAGACTCTTATCTTTCAAAGGTAATTATTATATCTCAAAATAAAGTTAGTAATTAAGATTCTGTGGAGAGCAGCATGAAATTTGTAGCAAATGCTTATAACCCTGCCCCTAAAATCCATTTATCTGAGTTCCACTGACTTTCACTGGGACTCAGATATCTAAACCAATGAGATGCTTTTAAATAACAAATCCAGAAGAGCTGCAGATAAAAACTCTGGGCCTCTTCAGCTCAGAAAGTTCTGCCTTTCTGGTACAGAAACACAAAATGTGCTAAAATGTCTGCCCTGAATAACAGCACGAGCCCAAATCTCTGCTGAGAGATCCTAAGCAAAGGGTCAAGGCTGGAGGCATCACCTCACTGCAGCTTTGTGAGACCTTTGCAGCCTTTGATATCAACAACAGTGACAACCAGGAGTTGGATTTTCCCCCTCCTGCCTGTACCTGCATGTTCCAGGTAAATCCCAGCCTGCCCATCGGCATTCCAGGCACGTGGAGGGCACGGGGAAGGGAAGGCCACCTGTCAAGCGGGAAAAAAGAACAAGTGCTATTAGGGAGGATTTTACAAAGTGACAACAGCTCAGGTAGCAACAGGGACAGTGCAGGGCAGTTTATAAGCTTAAAATACAAGCAGGAAAATAGCCTGGACCAAAAAAAAAAAACAAAGCACCTTTCAGAGGAAATTCCATTAGGTAGATCAAGGACCAAGTTGTGTTTTCAATTTGTACAAAAACTAGCTTGGCTATAGGGCAAATGCATTAAGTGTTTGACAGCCCAATAGAGCTTTGAACTCAGCTTGATCTCATCTTTTACGGTGTTATTTTACTGCTAGTTCATAATTAAACTTTTAACAAAAACCATTTTATATCACCAGTACAGGCCAAGTGAAACATTTGGGTATCAACCTCGTCTGGGTATATCCTGAAACCTGTAAATATTTAACTGCCAGGAAATATGACACCTGTCTCACAGGAGGGAAATATTATTATGGTTTAAAGTGTATTTTATTAAAAGAAAAATTATAAAATGGGATAAATGTATAAAATCAGGGGGAAAAAAAGCAGAAAATGGGATCTAATGGGATACGAAAACATCTATTAAATTATGTCTTTGTTCTGACCCTCACTCAATCTTCCCAAACTTTTGGGGATAAGTGGCTACCTAAGAGATTGACACAAGCACTGCCCCCCCAGAATCATGAAACCCACTCAGATTTCTGAGTTAGTGGATGTATTTTTAACATACAGTTATGTTTCTCTAATAAGTGTTATCCAATAGTAGTCACTCCAAGAAGCATTCCTGTGTTCTGCATATGAACTACGATTATATACCAAATTTAGGGAAGATTTACCCTCAGACCTGGAGCAAATTACAGAGCCTTACTTTATTAGGAAAAAAAAAAAAAAAAAAGCCACTTAGCTTAAATGGAAACCTTTCCAACAGGAATAGTCATTTCTATTCACAGCATGAAACTGCAGCAATATGACAATAATTCCAAAATTTATGTCACAAATTGTGAATTGGAGATTAAATGCCTGCAGCATCCCCAGCTCTGGTTACAGGTTATCATCCCTGTGCATTTGTGGACAAAAACAGAGTGAGCAAAATTCCCCCAAAAAACCAAATTACATGTACATTGTCAAGTGTTCATAATTTTTTTGAAAATTCTCATCATTTCCAGATGATAAATAGAATACTTTCTAGATCTGTCTTCTTGTTGTTGATTAGTTTTTCACTTAGATTTTCTCTGTACACTCTAATTATAAATGATTTTTGGGCTTAGTAAAAACATTTTTTTCCCCTTCAGCCAGCACACTGGCTAAGATAAATTGAATGACAGATAGACAAATATAGATAAATATTGTGGTCCCATTTCTGGAGCAACACACATATTTGTGGCAAAATCCTCCCAGGCACATCTAGGAAAAGGAATTCAGGTGATCCAGGCTGGCTGGTGGTGCTTAGTGCACAAACCAGGATTATCTGATTCATTTATTTTGTTATCAGAGCTCACAAATTGCACCTGTTGCTCCAATGTGGAAAAAGTATCCAAATATAAGAAATAGCAACCTCTATTAATATCGGTGCAGCCACTATTGCTAAGATTGGGGTTTTTTCTGCCCTTACTGTGCAAGGTGATCTGAGCTGCTCCAATCTTCCTTTCATTAAATACACTGCTCTTTTTCAGTCTCAAATATCAATGAAGGTGACTGCTGTACAAATTTTATAGTAATTGCTGATACTTGAGTAAGAAAAGATTAGAATCACATGACACATAAACCCTGGAAAGGATTTGAATAAAGGGGAATATTTCACAATAAACTCCACTGAATCCTTCAACTTGTGGTCGTTTTTTATTGAAGTGCCATCACTTCTTTTTACAACAGCTCCAATCTCCGGGGATAAAGCCTTTGTGCTTTTTTAATTAATTTCTTCATTTATCTTGATGATCTTCTTGATTTGCTGAAGCAATCTAACAAGAGTGTTATTTTAATAAAATTGCTCTCACCATTTCTCTGCCTGGAGTTTCCAACTGCTAATATGGAATCATCTACTAAGGATTTACAAGTTTCAAATAAATTGGCCGCTCTTTGCAGCACTGCCAGAATGCTGACACTCACCAACCAGATGCATTCCTTAATCCAGACTTTATCATGATTGAGAGAGCTATGGAATATTTTATCATATTTATCCTAGAATAATTGCTACATGGTTTGATTTTTAAAAAATATTAACTATGTATTTTTATATATAATTTGCTTATAGCCACGGCCTGTAGGGCTGACCTTAAACATATTGTTTTGTTTACTAATTATATAGCACTTTATAATCCCTTTGCACTATTAACTAATTTAATTAAGTTGCTTTTGATGATTTATTTATTTCCCTGCAATGAAAGCTGTAGATCTTCCAGACTGACACAAATTTCATCCTCTAGGGAAGAGTTGCCCCGTTTTATACCTGCTGAAGCTTTGGTCAGTGGACCCCAGCAGTGCCGTGTTCCAGTCAGGATAAAACTCTCATCCTCCAAAAAACTGGATTTTCAGGGGTACTGTAGCTGATGAAGCTCTTTAAAAAGTTCTAATTATATAAACAAATAGATTAATAACAGTAATATATCTGCATTTTCCCAAATTCAGAGATGTGCAGGGTTGCAAACCTTGCTACAGTTTCGACAATGTTTCCCTAAGAGATAACTTTAATATGATCTCAAAGAGACTCTGGGACTGTAGATTGAAATACTGTTTTGTTTCTCATTCAGACACCTTGCCTTTTAACACCTCAACATTATTCATTAAGCCTAAAATGTTTTTTTAGCCCCTATTCAAAACCACATTTTAAGGTGAGGGCAGAATCTTGAAGAACCCTCAGGCAAGAACTGCAAGTCACTCGAATTGCAGTCATTTTTCTGGCAAACAAATCTGCCCAAAAAGGAAAGAATTTCAAGGAAAACTTGACATGAAAAAGCAGCATTTCACTTTTTTCTTCCCCTTTTTTTTTTCCTTTCCCTTTTAAAGAGTAAAGGTTATTTTTTTAATGGTTATTTTTTATCATTACAGCAGCAACACTGTGAAAGGCACGATCCCATGGAAAAAAACAAAAATTCTTCTAAAAGTCCATACATTTCAATCTGTCATGGATGGGCTAATCAGTTCAGAGCCCCAGAGGAAAGGTAGATACTTTAGGCCACGTTTAAAGCCTGAAGAGAAAATTGGTGTTGACCCAAGATTCTACCGGGAATAACGGGGTAAGTTGGATCAGTGTCTTTATTTACTGTGCCCTTCCCTGTGATGAGCACAGGGAATCCAGCTGGAGCTGAGGAGGGGAGGGGCAGGATCAGAGCTGACACAGCCTGTTTGCTCAGGACAGGGGAAATCAGGCCAAGCCAGTTAAGGGGAATACCTTAATTTAGCATAAGTTCTGAAGCACCTCTTCCTCCAGCAGGCAGGAGCTGAGCAAGCTTCAAATTTCTCTCTGAATCTGGTTTGGGGAATGATCACAATGTTAATTTTGTTACTCTCCTGCTTGTCAGAGAAAAAAGACAGCAAATTCTCTGAGCTGAAGGCTGTCAATATGTCCACATCTTATTTATGACTGTAATATCTAACCTGTAGGAGTCCTAGACATTAATGAAATGCAAATAAAACATGTAAAAACAACCTTGGACATGCCTATGGAGGAAAATGAAATGGAAACTTTACACTATGCTGGATTTCTATGATCTTTGTGGGTCCCTTCCAACTCTGGATAGTCTATGTTTAAAAACATAAGTGTATGTTTAAAATAAATGAGGAAATAAACATACATATAAGTGTATGTTTAAAAACATAAGCAAATCTCCTATATTTACAGTAAATATCTTTGCACATTGTATAGGGATTTATGTCTAAAGCTTCTGAATAGTTTGTTTTCTTTGAACTGTAAATAAAAATTTGAATCATAACAACAAAATGAAAAGGTTTCAATTCATAACACTTACCTAATTTGCTGACTTTAGATTTGCTCTCCCAAATGATAATGGTTGTTAAAAATTAAAACACCATCATTGCAAGGCCAAAAAAGTGGGTTGGGTGGGTGAGCTGGTTGGGTTAGAGGATGAAAATGTTCTCTGCCAGACTTAGCTGATAATTGTAACCAACATCAACCAGCAACGTCCCTGGGTACCCTGACCCATCACACCAAAACCTTTTTGGCCAGGTGAGAGTGAATTGGGACAGCTTTGAACCATTTAATGTCAAGTTTCTGTTCCAAGGCATCCCAGAGAGCATGGCATTAACAGCACGTGTGGAGAAAAGTATTAAGGGTATTACAACACAGTGGTTTTCCTCCTTTCTTCTCCAAAAATGAGGAGGAAACCAATAAATGGTCTCTTATAAAATAGGTTTTGACTTGTTTCTTGGCCAGGAACGGGAGGTCCTGAAAGGTTCATGAGACATTTATCTGGTGTAAAATACAGTTCAATACCTAAATGACTTTTTCCTTTCAAAGTTTAAATAAAGCCCAGCAACCTTTAGCCTTTAGTGGTTCCCCATTGCTAATTCCTTGAATGGAAGCTTTTCTGAGAAAAAAATAAAAAGTGCTCCACTATTCAGGGGACTGGGATACATATTTACAGTTGACCACTGTGGAGTTTGTGTGGAAGAAAGGGTTTTAAAGAAGCAATACATCTTTTTCTATCTGGGTACAAATATATCTCGTCATTAAGCTATAAATCAAGCCTTCTGGGCCAATTGAGCTGGAAATATTAATTACACAGTTCGGCCAACTGTCCACTCCCTTTGCTGGGGAATAAGCAGGAACTACTTTGTGATTTGTTCTGCACACAAGTAAAAAACATGAAGGTTTCGAGAAAATTTGCATTTCCTTACTTGGCCATTTCCTGTCAGATATTTTACCACAGAGTTCTTCAGTATAAAATGAAACTTATTTTGCATTTAATCAATTTTGCTACAATGCTTATATTTATCATTATATTTCTAAAGTCTGTGGCTATAACTGCTAAATTAAATCAGCA